TTTATTGCTGTTTAAACTATCAGTCTCTGAAGGAGTTAGGGAAGATCTATTTAGAGGTGCTACCAAATGAGAGAGTTTTCAAATGAGCTTTGATGATATCAAGGTCATGGGTATGAAAATTTAATGAGATTTATATGGTCCTTAGCAGCAAAGTAAGAGTTGAAAGGACCATGCGTTCCTCTACTTGGGGCATGCAAGCAAAAGAATTGAATATTTTATAGTACAGACATATGAGCTTTTTGTATTTTGATTCACCCTGTTAACCAGTTATAGTAGTTTTTTTTTTTTTTGCTGGCATGCAGTTTTCCATAATCTTGAAACTGTTGTTTCATTGACTTCACTGATATTTTTTTTAATCTGTTGATTATAATTTTTGATAACCATTACTTCCATCATTCCATGCCACCGATGATGTTGTTTCTCTTTGCTAATGTATTGCAACATGTTGGTATGCTGGTGTCATATATTTCTCATTTCATTTTGTTCCCATCCTTGAGGGGTATCATATTTTTTACTTATGTTTTCCTTTTCCTTTTATTTTTTTAAATTTGTGCATGTTTCTTTTTAACCTGTGTGAATAGTATGAATAGGTTTGTAATTTATTAAATGAATATAAAGTTCTACTGCTGATCACTATTGTTCTGTAATGGATTGATGTTATGGTATGAATGAACTTCATGAGCTTAAAGCAGTTTGATTGATTATCTCTGTATTATAAGCTGTTTATCTACATTTTTAAGTGGTAGTTCTTATCAACAGATTGCTTCTCTGGCAATCCGAAGTGGGAATGGGCTTCTCTTGAAAGGTGGCAAGGAAGCTAAGCGGTCAAATGCAATTTTGCACAAGGTTTGGTTTCAAATAATTTCTGAACTATTCTTGCTTCATTTTATTTTGTTTGGTAGTCGCCATTAATAAATAATTTATGGAGGCAATTCTGCATCTCTGAGATGCAGGTAATTACAGAGGCCATACCAGATACTGTTGGTGGAAAACTTATAGGGCTTGTAACCACAAGGGAAGAAATCCCTGAGCTACTTAAGGTGAATTATCAGTGGAGCTCAATTTCAATTTTGTAAACTTAATTCACCTTAAACATTGGCTGGCACCTTTCTATTTAACTTTCAGCTGGATGACGTAATTGATCTGGTGATTCCAAGAGGCAGCAACAAACTTGTTTCTCAGATCAAGAGTTCCACTAAAATTCCTGTTTTAGGTCATGCTGGTAAGACCATTATGTTTATGGTTAAATGTAGGCTTAATTTCACTTTACTCTCTTTTGTTTGGACTCTGATTTTGGTCTCTCAAATATTTTCAAGTCAATTAAGTCTCAAATATTTTGGTCCCTTTAAACCCTAAATCCTTTATTTTTAAAATGAATCAAATTTGGTCCTGCTGCTATTTTTTTTTTTCTTTCCTTCCAAGACCAACAGATTATCATTTTCTACTCAAAACTCATTCATTATTCAAAGCATCAAATTTCACGTAAAATTTGAAAATCTCATTTTTTTTTCTCCTTTAACATAATCTAATATCCTATAAAATCCTTCAGATGATATCAATCTTTTTTTCTAAGGATCTGACTTTTAAACTTTCTAAATAATTCAGTGTCATCGTAAATCCCTAAATATTTGGATTTAAAATAATAATTTGAGGGTTTTAGATGGAAAAAAATTGACAACAAGGCAATTTTACTTAATTTTGAAAATAGGATGCAGTTGGTTTGAACAAAACTTGAGAGATCAAAATTGCACACGTTCCAAACTAAATGAACAAAATGCAATTAAACCTTGAATATAATATACAAGCAGTGCATGATATGGTATGGAAAATCATATTACTATTTTTATTTTTATTTTTTTGGACTAATAAGATGCACTATTACTAATTCAGATGGAATTTGCCATGTCTATGTTGATAAGTCTGCTAATGTGGAAATGGCAAGGCGGATTGTACTGGATGCTAAAATAGATTATCCAGCAGCCTGCAATGCCATGGTAAACTAAATGTTCTCAATGACTCTACAAGATTGGTAAAGCCAGCAATGTCTGCTGTACATAATTTCTGTTTATAAATTTCTACTTTTAGGAAACACTTCTTATCCATAGGGATTTGATAGAGAAAGGTTGGCTCAATGATATTGTTGTTGACTTACGAAATGAAGGTATGATTTCTGGCCATCTTTTCCTCTTATTTCTGGATTTTTTCCAACTACATAGACTGCATATACTAGTAAGTTGTAAGCTTGTAATACCATAAAACTGAATTTTGTAAAAGAACAAATTGGGCACTCGAGTATGTTTTCTTCAAATGCCATGAATACATCCTCTAAGGCTGGTTGAAATTTATTGGGTTTCAATTTTTATTTAATGAGTTTCAGGTATAATTTCATGATTCACAATAAATATCAGCATTTAAAAATACAAGTGTCTTTGGAAGAGTGTGTTAAGAATGTATTGCTAGCACTTCTCTTGAATTCTTTATAGCTAGTTATGGTGAGAGGAAAAAATCAATGCAGCTTGTTTTTCATGGTGCTAATGCTAACTTCCTGTATCATTTTGGACATCATTACAGTTCTAGTTCTGGATCCAAGTTATTGTGGACAAATTCTACGTGATAATTGTACAGAGAAGCACATTTTAATATCTAATGTTTAGTGGCTTTGAGTTTGTCTACATATTATCTAACTGGTGAATATTTAAAAAATGAGCATTTCCCGGTTAACTCAAGCTTTCATGTTTCAAAATGATCTTAGTGATATTGAATTGTAAATGTTGATTAAGACTTAATATCTCAACACTGTTTGCTATTTTTATTTTTGTCGATTAAAAAATATTCAAGCAATTGAAATGATCTTTTTAGGCAATTTAGGAATGAAAGGCAACTCCAAGGTTTAGTCAGTTGTTCTTTTATGGACTTCAGTTTACATCCTTACTACTCTGATGAGTTGTTTGATTGGCATCATTTTTAACACAAACTTATGTAATTGGAGTTGAACGAGGTACATTACCAATTTTAAGGTGTTACCTTTTGTGGTTTTGGAATTACTAAATTATGTAAATTTATGCAGGCGTTATATTGTATGGAGGACCTAGGGCAAGTTCTCTGTTAAATATTCCACGAGCACATTCATTTCATCATGAGTACAGTTCGCTTGCTTGCACTGTTGAAATTGTGGATGATGTGTATGCAGCTATTGATCATATAAATCTTTATGGAAGGCATGTCACTGTTTTCTTCTTGATAGGAAATATGTTGAAATATATTTTGCTTTCTTGATAAGAAATATGTTGAAACATATTACTATATTTCTTCGCTGGTCTCCATGACATCTATAGTAGTGTGGTGAGCTTAGACGGAAAAGTGATACGCTTTCTCTTTTATGACAGTGCACATACTGATTCCATTATTGCAGAAGATAAGGAAGTAGCAAATGTGTTTCTACGCCAAGTAGACAGGTAATATTTGAAATATCGTGCTTCTTTTTGTTTAATGAGAAAAGAATCCTGGGAAACAAGATAAAAGATATTTCACTCAATTGTTGCTTTGCGGTGTCTCATTATTGTGTGTAGTTTAATTGGTGGTCTTTGACCAAGTTGCTCATTAGTACTAAGCAAACATTTCCTTTAAACTATAACTGCTTTCTCATAAGTGCAATGGCATTTATGTAAATGTTGCTCACCTTGTGTTGGCAGTGCTGCTGTTTTTCACAATGCAAGCACCAGATTCAGTGATGGGGCACGATTTGGACTAGGTGCAGAGGTATAATATTGTTTGCATTTTATAATCAATGTTACATTAAGGTTGTTGATTTAATATGTAATTCCGTTTTGGTTGAATAGGTTGGAATTAGTACGAGCAGGATTCATGCTCGAGGTCCAGTAGGAGTTGAGGGATTGTTAACAACAAGATGGTATGATCTTATTATGCCTATAAATAACTACAATAAAATATTTCAGTCCTTCATTTTCATCTTAAATATCATTAACTTGCTGCTACTCAATTACGGAAAGTAGCCAAACTATGATGCTGCATGTTTTTTATGGAATATATTTCATGAGACTACATAGTTCTAACCCATGTATGATTTATATCTTGAATGCAATCCCAACCAATATGATAATATAATCATGACCTTTTTATATAATAAAACCCCCAAGTTGTATGTGGTATATCCCTCGTGTTTTACTTGGTATCTTTTGTCTTTGGCATATGCAGGATACTAAAAGGAGGTGGACAAGTAGTAGATGGTGATAGAGGAATTGTCTACACCCACACAGACCTTGCAACTTAATTTGAATGGTCCTACTGCTTTACTTCCTTTTGCAGCCATTCGTTTGTTTTGGCAGTTGAAGATTACGGTGTAGAATTGTACCATTTAACAGAAACCGGGTAATTTGTATCATCTGCTGGTTCCTTTCCTTCAAGTGTTTTGTGTCAACAATTACAGTTCGTGATAGGATTTGTTCTTTAAGTTATTTCATGTGGGCATCAAACAGTAAAGATCCATATATCACTATATATGCTAGAAAATACAGAACATGTGAAGTCTCGGTAATGGAATCCATTTGTTGTTTTGTTAACGACAATTGAATATTTATAATTTCAATTTTTGAGATGTACAATGCTGTATTTTTGCATTCGAGAAGAAATAGCACCCCCACCCCCCAATTGGAATTGATTAAAGTTCGTATGCAAACCGACGGTGCATAACGTCCTAATGTGTAGTAATTTATTATACTTTGATTTAAAATAAAAATACAAAAAGCAATTACTAATTATAGTTGGAGGAAATTAATCGGTTATTTACCACCAACTTGAGAATTGGCACGTTTCTAAAAGAAATTTGCTCAAAATGGAAAGGAAAATAAGGATTCGTCGGCACCGTGGGACGCAACATACAGCAAATGCTTGTTTTTAGCTAAATCTCACGTAAATCCCGGCGTCAGGTGTTATTTTAATTTTTAACAAGGCACCACAGGAAAGGGAATAGATAAATAAAATCAATACAACACTTGGGTAAAACTTTATTTTTAACTGAACAACAGCAGTGCTAAAAACATTTAAAATAATGCTTTTAAATTTTATCCATGAAATTAACCAAGCATTTTTCAAACGTGAGCTACCTTCAATGACTAATAGGAGCTACAGCTAAACCACAATAACAAAATCTCTGGGTATTTTTTTTCCTTCGAATGCATACGCAAGTAATAAGACAAAAAATAAGTATTCTGCATCCTATCTTCAAACGACCGCGTAAGCACATAAAGAGATGTGTAAGCTCATGCTTGAACAAAGCTCTTGAGTTTTTGCAGCCATACCAAGTACTCTTTACTGTCCTTGTTGATCATGTACTCATGCAGGAAATTTGTTGTGCTGGGTTTGATTCCTCTGATTTCTAAATACTTGTGAAAAGACTTCTGTAGATTCTCATCCAAGTCCCTGCATAAGACATTAAAACAGAAGAAATTCAGTCAAACAAACAAGACCTTACCACAACAACAACTAAGTTTTAATTTATTTTTTTTCCAAAGAGTTGCACAGAAAGAATGGCGTACTGGAAATCTGGCCCCTCATAAGCTATTTGATCCTCAGCAAGATCAGGATTCTTAATAGACAAGCTGTCAATAACAATCTCATCAGGGTAACCCACACAGTTAAACTCTAGATAGGGTCCACCCCTCTTATAAACACTAACTGCAAGTGGAATGCTTGATTGAGAAGCTCTTTCACTCTCATTATCGTTATCTTCATCATTTTCTTCCCCAGTGACCAAATCAGGCATGTGAACCTCTACCTTAATTTCTTCATCTTGGTACGTCCTTTCAAGTGTTATAGTCTGCTGCCCGGGACTATCAACAATTTTAAAGGGAAAATTACTCGGAACCTCTTCAACCTATCAACAAATTCAACTTTCACCAAGTAAACCCTACTTATCACATTATAAAGAAAAAAATAACCATCATCATCGCTATTTATGAATTGGAAAAAAAAAAAAAAAAAAAAAGGACTTACTGCGCCGTGATCATCGGTGTCCTGGGCGCATTCGATTTCGGATTCGATGACTCGGAGAAGATTCTCATCGGAGGTTGGTTTCTTCTTGGAAGCTACAGAAGAAAAGTGAGACCTCGGAAAAAACGAATCCTTGTGATGGTGCTGGTTGATGACGGTGAGGAGCAAAGTACGATGACCCGGGCGGTTATTCTTCGTCAATTGACCCGCGACAGCAAGAGCCCTTGCAAAAGAACCCGACTTGCGAAGAATCGAGTTGAACGCCATTTCCCAACACACAAGGGTTTTACTAGGGTTTTACGATGTAAGAGGAGGCTTGGGATAATTTTCCACGCATTCAACTTTATATCACGTAACCTATTTTAAGGCCCAGCTTTTTAATCTGGGCCAGTGTTATGGGTCACCCCTAGAACGGCTATGGAAAAATTTTAATTTTCCAATTTAGGGGGGTGTTTGTAGCAAAATTTAGAAGCCTCGTGTTGAATTAGGAGGTGTTTGATATACTGGTATTTTTTTTTTCCATACATTAGAAAAATCATGATTGATGACAATCGTAAGAAATTCTTAATCAAATTTTTTTTTCAAAATATATATAATATTGCTTGTTATAAAAAATTATTATATTAAATTAAATAAATAAATAAGGTTAACGTAAAAATTTTATCACATTAAAAAAAATGAACTTGGAAATGTCAGGGACTATTTGGTTTGTGAAAATATTTTCTGTTTTTATTTTTTTTTTTAAATCATTTTCATTTTTAAATTTTGAAAATTAAAAAATATGTTTAGTTTTTGTTTTCTATTTTTCAAAAATAAAAATTTTGAAAATGTGTTTAGTTTAATAACTTTTAATATAATTATTATTATTTATTAGTACGAAAACGACACTTCATACCTCTGTCTTTATTTTTGAGAGATTTTAGAAGATGACCGTAAAAACTGAGATTTAAAAGTAGGTAACTGACTTTTTTTTGTTTATTGCAGCGAGTGAGTAATTTAAAAAATTATAAATAAGTATTATCAGTTTAAAGATAAACTAGTATTTTAGCATGATTATATATAATCAAAATTTATAATAAATTATATATAAATAAATATTTTAAACATAGAAATATATCTTAGATATGTGATAAATAATTTATATTATAATATAAAATTATTATTATTTATTAATTATTTACTTTAAAATATTAAATTTTAATTTTTAAATAAATATAATAAATAAAAATAAAATTAAATAAAAATTTAAAAAATTTAAAAAGAAAATGCTTAAAAACTCTTTCATTAAAAAAGATTAATAACATTATCAGGCAAGATGGTCGATTTTATTTAATATATAAAGATGAACATGTCAAATAAAAAAAATAAGAAAAAAGCAATTAATAAAATGTATTTGTTCATTAATAGGTATAAATTTTTAAAAGTAAATAAAAATATAACTAAGATTTTATTTTAAGAATCATAAAATAAAATATATAAATATAATAGTACAATTTATCTTTAAAAATGCATTTTACTGTGATACTGGTGCCAAAAAAAAAATGGAATGAAACTATGAGCAAATAAACAAATATAAGAATAAGTGTACTAAGTAGTGTTGCAAATAAACTGACAGAAAATTGACAAAGAACTTCACATGTAAACAGGAAAGGATCAAATAATTATAACTTGCCACCACCTTTTCATATGAGCGTTTTCGAAAACATCGAAAATGGTGTAATTTTGTTTTTAAAATATAGCTTCTTTTAAAAATATTTTCAGTGTTATTTTATGTTTTCTTTAAAAATGAAACAAAAAAATACCTAAACCAAACAAGCCCTAAATTCTACTTCTCCCATCAGAAACAATTTGATGAGAAATTTATGTAAAAAAAATTGTGTATCAATGGGCTCGTTAATCATACAAGACTTATCTATTAATATTGTAACAATAGACTTTTCTTAATTATGTATACTTTGATATATGTGATTAAGAAATGAATTTTTTGTTATTTGTTTATTTGTTTATTTTTAGTTTAACTGTGTAAGAGTTGGTTCGATGAGAGTTGAAATATATAAGGCGGATTTTGACAAATGAAATTCATAAGTTTATAACCCTAAAATTTTATAAAGAAGTTAAAGAGAAGTACTTTAGAGCTAATGAAGTCCGATCTTTGATATGATTCAACTAGAAAATCTATTTCTTCTCATAATCGTTAGTTGGTGTGGTAGAAGTTGAGATTCAAGCTGAAGAGTTGAAAATCTTAGAGAGAAGTCGTTGTAGATGAGTTTGGGGTTCTTGAATATCTTCCCTTCTTCCTTGCTTTATGGAGTAATTAAGGTAAAGGAAGCTTGTAGTTTGATTTTCTAAGTTGTGTATAGTGTTTTTGTCGTGTTGATTCATACTCTGGTAAGCATTAATGTTGAGATTAAGGATAAAACTTGGTGTTCTTGGTGAAGAATAAAGAAAGTAATGATCCTAATGCATTTGATGGTTGCATGTAGCATTTTATTTTGTTTTTGAGTTGTATGATGATAGTAAATGACTATTTTTGAGTTGCATCTATGAATCTTGTAGTCAGATGAGAGAATTTCTAGAGTTGTTATGTTATTCTTGAGTTGTGTTCATTTTTGGATCCATGTAATCGCTTAAAGTACACATGGGGGTCACTTAAAGAGAGCAAGTGAGGTCGTTCAAGTATTCTTTGATGGCTCACTTATAATGCTCATTTTGGATATTGATCTATGACGATGTATATGTATGATGATGATTCAAGTTGATCAATTTGAAAGTTAAAAATTGTGGAATGATGAATGTGGGAATGTTGTATAGTTGTGTAGCATTGAGAATGCTTAAGGCATTATGTTGAGTTGTGTTGTTTGACTTAGGAATAGACAAAAATGTTATTTAAAAGTTGAGTATCTCATTGTGAATATATGGTGTTGTGGTGCTCGACGAGCTCTATTATTGAAAACCCTTCTTGAGAAGTTAACTCTTGAAGTGGATTGTTAAGTCTCCTTTAGGACCTTAGTTGATGCAGTATGGGGACAAGGTTGAGTCATACTAACTATAAGTGACCGCAATATAGGAATTATATCAAACTATACTAATTATAAAGCGATTAAATGTTGATTCATATAGGGTCAAGTCGAGTCATATGTGTACAAAGTGACCAAACCGAGTAAGGTAAAAGGTTAGGGGTCAAAATCCCTAAGTATCGATAGGGACGTAGTATTTGGAGGGTGATCAATGAAATAATCTCATAAGAGACTTAGTTATTCATATTAAGGTCGTGGTAGGCTCAAAACCAAGTTGTCCTACCCTTACAAGAATACTAAACTTTCATAGTTTAAGTGGCAAAATCTAGGAAATTGTACGATATTGTAGATTTTTATCCAAATTAGTTGTTGATCTAGCTAATCTAAAAACATAATGTTGTTAGTTGATTTGATAGGATCAAGCCCTTAAACTCCTAATTTGTGTTGTAAAATATCTTTTAGTTGAATGTATAACAACACAATATCACAATTAAAACACTAGAAAAACACAATGTTGCATTATATATAAGATCATTTTTACTTTTTTGCTTGTTCTTTTTTAATTTTTTATAAAACTCTCTTTTGATTTTTAATTATATTAATTATATTTTCTCTAAAATATTATTATTTAATAAACAATTTTTTTAGGCAAAATATAATAAATGTTTAAAAGTATTTGGATAAAAACTCTCTATTTGGATTGGATAAGATATATAGACACGTAGATATTCCCCTCTTCCAAACATTAATTAATTAGGTGAAATATAATTAAGTGAAAAGAGAGAAAGTTAATTTTGTAAAAGTGGTTTAAATTATTGAGAAATTTAAGGGTGTAATTTAGTTGAAAGGATTTTATAATTAAGGACAAATGTAGTGATCAAGTTAATTTTGTAAAATTATTATTCTCTTCATCTATTATTTACTTTTTTTGGTTTGTATAACAAAATCTAAGAGGGGTGTATTGGATTAGGATTTTAAAGGACTTTTTTAGTTAAAAAAAATCCTGCAGATTTTAAAAGACTTTGCAGGATTTTCATGACTTTTAAGATTTTGCAGGATTCTACAAGACTTAAAATCAGGATTTTAATGGATTCTGTAAGACTTTTAAATCAGGATTTTAATGGATTCTGTGGGATTTTGTGAATTTTGTAGAATTTTCGTGGATTTTTGACATTTGATAAGATTTCAAAAACAATTTCATACATTCAAATTTAAAAAGAGTCAAAGACTAAAATAATAAAAAATAATAATGTCTAGATAAATAATAATAATAATAATTCTCCATAATATCTTATCCTCTTAAATAGTATTCACCCACATATCCATAACTATATTAGTCTTCCAAGCATTAACGTCTTTTCGCTCTTGCTCCTGGGTTTGAATAATAGGTTCAAAAGTATGATCTTCATTAATTGGTAACGTTAAAGATGAAGGTTCATCCACCGCTTCAATTGGAAATTCATCATAACGTCATTCTTTATGTAGAAAGTTATGTAGTGCTGCACATACTAACACAAGTTCTACTTGTGTCTTAAATAAAAATGGAGGTATTGACTTAAAAATTGTGAACATTGATTTAAAAATACAAAATATTCTCTCGATCACATTCCTTAAAGATACATGACGAAGATTAAACAATTCTTTCTCATTTTCAGGGTCATTACCTTGACCTGCAAAATCTTGTAGATGATATCTTACACCTCAAAATGGAGCTAAAATTTGGCATCGATTAGGAAATCCACAATCCACAAAAAAAATATTTACCTAATTATATATGCAATATATATAATATTAGTATAATAATTATTATTATTATTATTTAAAGAATAAGCATTTAGATATAAAGAATATATATATATATATATTATTTTAGTTATATATTAAATGATAATTTTTAACGATATTTATAAATGTAAATTATTCTAACAAATATTTTAACAATATTTTCTCTTTTAAAAAATAAGCTAATGAAGACATAAATCCTAAACCTTAAAAAATTAGATATTGCAATGTCTTATGTTAATTTTTTTAAAATATAAAAAAGTCCTAATTTCACAATATAAAAAAAAATTCATAGTAAAAAAAATAAAATAATTGTTGAGTCATAAAAGGATGAGGGATAAGAGTAACAAACTTAAGGAAAGGAGAGAGATCGCAGTTTTTATGCTGAGAGGGTTCTTCCCCCAACTAAGATCCATTTTCATCTTTCACCTTTTTCTTTTCTTGACGTGTATTATAAAAAAATTACTACTTAAAATTTGAAATTTCAAGCATTTTTTTGTGTTATATAAAAAAAACAAATTCAAATACATAGAATAAAATAAAGCAAGTCAATTAAAGAAAACCAATAGAAAAATAGAGCAAGTCAATAACACTATTATTTACATATCAGAGTTTCACAAAATAGGGGAGTGGGATGAGAATAGTACTACAATATTATATATGAGCAATGAACAATAGTGCAGTATTATTAGCAGAGAAAAAATGGAGAAGACAAGAGCATAAAAAAAAGATGAAAAATTCACTTGAAAAATCTTGAAAAGTCACTTCAAACAATCCTTCAAAATCCGATGGGTTTGGATGAAATTGTTTTATGAATTTGGTATTTATAGATAACACTAGAAAGTCCTTCAAAATCCCTCTCACACAAAAATCTTTTAAAATCCTTATATTTTTAAATACCAATGGATTATTTTTAAGTTATAAAAAATCTCAAATGAATACCAATGAATTTTAATGAACTCTTTAAAAAATCTTGAAAATCCAGATTGAATACCACTAGATTGTTTTTAAGTGACATAAAATCCTGATTGAATACCAATGGACTTTTTTACTAAAAAAAAGTCTTTTAAAATCCTACAAAATCTTAAATCAATACACTCCCCTAAGACAATATTCACAACGACAGGAGAGTGTATTATGCAATATTTTTTACAAATTTCAAATTTCAAAATATAATAATTGAATTTAAAATAACCAATTAATGAATGCATAAATTCAAATACTCATTAATGACAATATTACAACTCATTATCCTTCCAACAATACTTAGTAATAAATGTTCATTTAAATTTCACTTTTTATTAAATGTTTCACCAGACATAGTACAACAATCTAAGTTAATCCTACATTTATTTCGTGTTATGACTCCAAGTTATCTTTTAAGTGCATTAAATATTTTATTCCTTAACAGATCGAACGAGAAAACATTCTCAAAAATTGGTAATACTGGAAAGTAAAATCAATGCGTTAGAGAGAGAGATAAAGATCTCAGAAATAACAGAAAAGCAAACAGGAGTTTTGAACATGTCGCATTGCTCTTATTCAACCACTATTTTTTGTCTCACCTAAACGAAATGATAATAAGTAGTTGTCAAGATTAGATAAAAGATGGACATCTTCATGCAAAACATTAAATGCTTGCATCAATGACTAATTTACTTTTTCTCTCTAATCTTGAAGAAAAGACAAACGAAGCAACTCAAAAAGAAAAATAAATATTCAACTCAAAGTTGTTGAAATGGTCATCTACTTCAAAACTACTATAAAATGATCAATCCACTACAAAAAAATACTTATTACCGACGGACTTTTTTCCACGGATAAATATCCATCTAAAAAATGACATTATCGATGGATTTTTCTGACGGATATTACCTACAGAATTTTTTCTTCTAAAATTTCAGATGAAGTTTACCCACGGATTTTTTTCATGGGTAAATTATGATGTTTTAGACAGATATTTCCCATGGATTATCTGTCTAAAAAATTGTTTGTAGAAAATAAAAAAAATTCATCAGTAACTTTAAAAATTTTAATGATAAAATATTAACAAATTAAATTCTTAAATACTTAACTAATTTTCTCATGCTAATTAATTTACCATACCAACTATTATATATATAAAATTTATAATTAAATGATAGTATAAAATAATAATTTACTATCAATATATTTAATATTATATAGTTAATTTTATTTAAATTGAGAAATATATAATTAGTGAAATGATATTGATGCATGATAGTCTAAAATTAAAAATAATTTCTTAATATTTATAATAATTTTACCAATTTTGAACTATATTTTTTTTTAATAAAACAAGATTATTATTTAATATAATTTTAAAATGATTTTTTTAAAATATTATCAATAATACTCATGAAATTACTGACGTTATTATTGACGGATGTATCCGTAGGTAATTATTTTTTATTAATAATTTATTTTAAAAATAATAAAATTAATTTATAAGTAATTATAATAAATAAAAATTAAATTAGATAATTACTCACGAATAGGTAATTATTTTTTATTAATAATTTATGTTAAAAATAATAAAATTAATTTATAAGTAATTATGATAAATAAAAATTAAATTAGATAATTACCCACGGATAAATTCGTGGGTAATTATTTTTTATTAATAATTTATGTTAAAAATGAAAAATTAATTTACAAGTAATAATGATAAATAAAACTAAATTAGATAAAAAAAATTTAAAAATATATAAAATTCTTCTAGTTAAAGAAAAGTCTCTAAAAATTTTATGGCACAAGAAAGACATTTGTGCTTTATATATAGAAGTTAATTATTCTTTGATTAGTTACTAATTTTCATTTAATATATGTTTATACAAATTTTAAATATGATTTATTGATTTAACTATAATATTTAATTTTATATATAATTTATTATAAATTTTAATTATATGTAATAAAAATGTAACTTGTGAAATACACAGACTAAAATATTAATATTTTTTAATTTAGATAAAAATTATAGTATTATATTATATTGTAATTCTTGAAATATACTAGAATGAGAGGATCCAAAGATTGTACAAGTATGCGATTGTATAGTTGAAGATGACTTAAATGAATTAATTTGTACTATTTATACCAATGAGATGCATCTACTGTTTGGTTGTTTATTCCTTAAGAACTTTACAGTTAAGCGTGCTTGACATAGAGTAATTTAGGGATGGGTGACCTTCTGGGAAGTTTTCCAGAAAAATGCGCAAATGACGACAAGGCACGCTGTCTTGTGTTGATATGTGGGGTTTGTGGGGTCAATCTTTGATCCTAAAAGCGGACGAATATCTCAAAAAGGGTTACCCATAGAGGGTTCTGACCAACGAGGAGTTGTGTGAAGTGTTGTGGATTGGAACTGCTGAAATGTCAGATATGAGGGATGTTGCACTAAATAAGGATGTTATTTAATATAATTTCAAAATGATTTTTTAAAAATATTATCAACAATACCCACGGATAAAATTCGTGGGTTATTTCGTCAGAAAGTTACCCACGGATTATAATTCGTCGGTAAATATTTCATACGAGCAATTTACCAACAGATTATTTTCCGTCTGTAATCCATCGGAAATGAAGTGTTACCTACAGATTTTTTGAATTAACCACGGATTTTGGTCGTCTATAATTTTAAAATTTCTTGTAGTAATCTCCAAACAACAAAAAAGAGAGGAGGGGACAAGAAGAACAGAACTTGAAGTAACATAAATAAAAGATCAATACTTACTGAGAAATTTGTATACTACAAAGAAGTTCTTCAAATTCTTAGATCTTATATAGTTCTTTGTAAAATATTTTGTGCTTAAGTTTTATAGCATCACGTTTAGAAGAGACGAAACTATCTCTGTAACTCTTTTCAAATTCATTTGTAAGGGTGGAGCCTAGACAGGCTTGTTCAAAAGAATACTTAGTGTTTAAGCCTATAGATACTTGGTTGAAAATAATACTTGGTGATTTAGCTTAGAGAGGCTTGTTGAAAATAATACTTGATGATTTAGCCTGAAGAGGCTTTTTGAAAGGATACTTGGGTAGTTGCTTGAAGAGGCAAGACAAAGACTAAATAGGTTAAGTCAGAAGTGGTTTGTTGAAAGAATACTTGTATCTTGAAAAAGATAGTGGAACTCAATCTGGTTGGATTGAGAACTAGATGTAGTCTCTGTGATTGAGATGAACCAGTATAAAAGATTTGTGCTCTTTCATCTAATTACTTTCTAGTAATTCGTCTATCAAAACTTATACTACTTCACTGCACCTAAAAAATGCGAGTTTTTGATATATACTATTCAACTCTCCTTTTAGTGTGTATCTTTTTCTCTAACATATTGTATGAGGAGGAAACCCAATTTGTATCTATTTTTTAAAAATTTTGTATTCTATATAATTCTCCATTACTCTAATTGATAATATTAAGTAGTATGTATGTTTAATTTTGTGTGTTAAACTAATTTTGTGGATCTTGAATTGCCCATGAGTTCCCATGAGAATCTTAAGGGAATCCATTTTTGGTGATTGCATGAGAAGTTGATATGAGTATGTAATTATGTTCATTATATGTTTTAATTATAATTAATTTTATATAATTTGAATTCTTTGAGAATTTATGTGTCTATAATTTTTTGTAAGAAATCATTGTTTATAGAGCAAAGTGAAAAGGGATGTTAATTGCATGAATATGTGAAATTGAGGTTAGATTTGAGTAATTAATAGTATAATAGAACAGTATTAGCCTTTAATCTATGTTTTTTACCGATTGGATGGGAAAAAGAGAGTTTGGGTGTGAGTTGTGTTTTGTTTTGAAAATTTTTGGTAAGAATATACCTTGGTTTTATGCAATTTATTTATGTGTAATTAATGAAATTAAACTATGATTGTTAGGTTATAAAGTAGGCATTTGGGACTATAGTTTAAATTAAAGAATCACATAAAAATATTAAAGAATGATCGAGTTAGGCGAGTCAAAAGATGTCTGTAAAAAATGTGTGAAAGGAACGTAAGTAAAATGAAGCGAAATAATTGAAAAATGTCTATAAAAAAAGATGTTACTTATAACAAGTATTCATAAATATTATTTTACCTTTTCATTATTGAGTCTTGGACCTTTGAGATAGATGATAATAAAAAAGTATATCATCAAATTAAGCTCAAGATTGAAGTATTTCAATAAACACCTTTATTGGCTAAACATTGTTTCTCATAACAACCATTTCTTTAACATTCTTGTAACATTATTACTTGTTTTGACACTTTCTCAAGCAAGCATCCACCGCATGAACTGGAAGACGACCACGATCATCTAACAAGTAAAGTCAATTATTAAAACATGTAAAACATATATAATTAACTCAAATATAAAAAATAATTATAAAACTTTTAAAATTACCAATATTAATGTCAACCGGTTTGATCAAGTCACAACTACTAATACAATTGTAGATAGCATCGACAAACATTTTATGACAATGTTGTACTTCACAAAGTTTCACACACAATTTATATGGTCTATAAAGTGCACATTGTATTGCGCATCTAATTTTACATGTGGATAATTTAAAAGAGTCATAGTTTGACTCAACTTGCACAAGTGAATAATTGTATTTAGCTTGTGCGAAACAAAACATGGCGATGATCATAATCACAAACCCAGTAGTTTTCATCTCATTCTTTGCCATAACTATTTTTCAAATCTTTTATAAATGATCCCAAAATTTTGTATAGATGTTATGTTAAGTTCTTGTATCAGTGTTTCACAAAAAAGTAAACATCAATTTATAAGCATGGAATACACGCGTACTAAAATATGCACTTGTGGAGGAAGAATTTTTTTTTATGTATAAAAAATATATCATTACCATAAAATAAGAAATTTAATTTACTATCATAAAATAATCCTCCCCCAAATTAAAGACATTTTAGACAATTCTTTATATTGAGAATAATTTAAGTCCCACATTGACTAGAGACTAGGCAATTCAATAGTATATAAGTGGAAAACAACCTTTATCTTATAAGCCGATTTTGTAGGATTGAGTTAGACTTAAATCCACTATTCTAAGATGGTATCAGAGTTATTCTAGATTCTTAAAAATGGACCACCTACCATTAATATATGCACCATGGGCATGAGGGGTGTATTCAAGTCCCGAGCAAAGGGCTTAAATCCACTATTCTAAGATGGTATCAGAGTTATTCTAGATTCTTAAAAATGGACCACCTACCATTAATATATGCACCATGGGCATGAGGGGTGTATTCAAGTCCCGAGCAAAGGGCTTAAATCCACTATTCTAAGATGGTATCAGAGTTATTCTAGATTCTTAAAAATGGACCACCTACCATTAATATATGCACCATGGGCATGAGGGGGTGTATTCAAGTCCCGAGCAAAGGGCCACCTACCATTCATTGATACATGTACCATGAGTATGAGGGAGTGTATTCAAGTCCAGTCAATCCTAGATCAGTAAAAAAGGGCCACCTACCATTTATCCACATATCAAGCCCAATAGTATATAAGTGAAAAGCAACCCTCATCTTACAAGCCAGTTTTATAAGGTTTAGTTAGGCTTAAATCCACTATTCTAAGACTTTATATATATAGTTATTTTATGTTTCATTCATTAATAAATTATTATCTTTTGTGCTTATCATAAGACTTGGACATCCCGTATTGCTGAATAGAGCACCTACTGTCGGAAAATCCTCGGATAAAAACTCTTGTTATTTTAGTTAGGACCAACATATTTCCCCGGCGAACCTGTAAAAACTTCTGCTAAATTTTTTAAAAAATTTAGTCTCCTTTATAAGACTAATCTATTGTCTCAAATATTAATTTTTTTAAAAAAATTATATTATTAAAAAACTAATATTGTATCATAAAATATAATATTATATATATATATATATATATATATATATATTATAATTATGATATCAGTGATAAATTATATATTAATAATTTGTGAAACATTATCAAATATATCCACTCGATAATTAAAAATGATATTAAAAGATTTTAACTCAAGTGACTTGACACTTATGTTCTTTAGTTAAGAATTGAAAATTGATTCTCGTCTTGAATAGAGTCGCAATTAAAAATAGTACCATTTTATCTTTATAAAAATCAACTCGATGAAAAGAAATTATAATTCTCTATTAAAAAAAATAGCAATTACAAATAATAAATAAATAATTTCAAATTAATACTTTTACTTTTAAAATTTATAAATATGATATATAAATGTAAAATAGTCAATCAATAAATGTAATATTTTAAATACTCATTAATGCGTCATTAAAACCAATTACCTTTCACATGGAGTACAATACATAATAATAAAAGTATACTTAAAATTATTTTCTTATTAAATGTTATGCCAATTAATATATCATATTTTCTTTACTCATCACAGTTATAATAACAACACTATAATTAAAATGCAAGATTTTGTGTGTATTATCTTAATCCTACCATTATGATGGAGGACCATTCTTAGAGCTTCATGTGGGACCTATCACTAGGTCCATGACTAGGAGATTGGAAGAGGATAAGAGAGCTAACACCTTCAGAGACATGTTTCTTATGGCTATTAATTATTCTCCTAAGCCTTGTTAACGTTAAATTTATTATTCCTATTTTACCCTTATCTTTAATTTCCTATTTTACCCTTGTATTTTGGGTACCTTAGACATATGGTTTATTTTTCTTGTATTACCCTTGTATTTTGGGGTGTCTTAATCATAAGATTTATTTTTACTTATATTTTCCATTTTACCCTTGTATTATGAGGTGCCTTAGATTATAGGATTTTATTTTATAGCTATGGTATTTTATTAAGGATAGAAACTAGGCCTAGACATGTTTTTTGGTGGCATTGCATTTATTTTTGGACTTGACAAAGCTTAGGCCCAAGTGGAGGGCACCTAGGTTGCATAATCTTATAATGCACCTAGATGTAGCTTAACCAAACCCAAAGATTTCATCCTTGGCCACTGTAAACACCCAATTTCGTCCGGGGCACACAAACAAGGAAATAGACCTCCGTTGTGAAGGAAAGGAGCTCCCGAAGTGACTAAAATACCTAAAAGTGCTAGGCTAGAACGAAACGTTCCAATACCAGAACGGGTCGTTCCAAACAAGTCAAATTTGGAACGGACCATTTTGAAAAGGGCAACCCTGTGTTAATTTTTACTCTGGAACAGGCCGTTCCGTTTTCAGAATGGGCCGTTCCAGGGTGCGAAATTTGCACATAATGATTGGCCCAGAATGGGCCGTTCTAGCCCCTTCTGATTCCTATAAATAGAGGCCTTGGGCACAGTTCTCCTAGCGGCCAGAGAAATTTTGAATAAAACTCTTTTGAGCACGAAAATTTTCTATCTCTCTCCCTTCTATTGTATTTCTTGATATTTATGTCGCATCTCTATCTTCACTCTCCCTCCTATTGTATTTCTTGATATCTGTGAGGCATACTGTAGTGTGAAAGGTTGTCACAAATCACCTTCTCCATATTTGAAGATCCAATAAAGCTTGTTCAAGAGGTATTTCAGTCAATCTTCTTCTTTTCCTGTTATTTCTCATCTTTATCTCTTTTTTTGTTATAATAAACTTCATAATGTAGATATTTTAGGGTTAATCGCTTAATTTATATTTTAAGCATGTAAATAAACATTATTAAAGGGGATTTAATATTTAATCTATTAATTCTTATTACGTTATCTTCATCATAAGGTACCGATTTAGGGCGTTGTAGGGGTGCTTAATACCTTCCCATTTGGAAAGATAGTTGTGTAACATAATGTAATGATTTTATTAACAAAAATATTAATAAAAATTTATAGACATCATAATGAAAATTTGGAAAGGTCTAATTCTAATTCTAGCTACAATCCAATTTCATGTTTAGTTTTGCATAGTAAAGGGACATCACCAAAAATTACCTCAAGAACACATGAACAAATTGTTTAACGAAACGAGGGAAAGAACAAGGATGATATGAATCCATATGAAAGAAGTACAAGAAAGAAACTATTTTAGAGTCTGCTCATACTTTCTTATCACAAACATTAATCATCACAAGCTTGCTAAAATGACCACAAAAAACCAAGAAAAACATTTTTTTAAAAAATATTTTACCATTACATTATTTGTGTTTTTTTATTACAATGCAAATGCATTACATCTAAGCATATAATTAATTTTTTTTTAAAGTTCATGAATATGATTCACATAGAATGCAGATTAATCTTTCATCAACTTTGAGATATTCAATGTTTTATGTCAAGATAAAAGAAAAAGTTTATTTATGTTTAAATATAATGTTTACACGAATATATATATATATAT